TCTGAACTGATTTGTTTGACAGATATAAACCATCAGCACAAAGCCCTACAGAGCTTGAAGGGAAGAAATAGCTGATGCCTGGCCACTTCATCTGCTAGAACAGTCAGTACTTGTGTATTTGCATATGCACACACGCATGTGAGTGTGCACGTGTGCGCACACACACACACCAAGCTGTCCTTAGAAGTCACCTAGGTACCATCAATTCAAACCTTTTCCAGTTATTCTGGTGGGTTAATTCTGCTAAGAAAGCACAAGCCTTGAAACTACATTCTAGAGCTGATTAAAGGATGTATTTTTCCAGCCAGAGGAAGGGGCTAAGACACTGAAGTGACTTCAGAGAAAAAAAAAAAAAAAACAAAACCAAGAAAATTACTGAGGGAATAAAAGAAAAAAAAAATCAAAAGCAGACGTATTCAGGAACTTGGCTATTTATGCTACAAAATAAAAGGACTATGGAACGTGGCCTCTGTGTGGAACAGGTACTTCACAAGTAAAGCTCTCTTCAATTTAGCACACAAAAAGACAACCAGGTTTAGTAATTGCAGCCAAACGTAGACATGAACAAGTACAGTTAACCACTGAACAATTTAACATGGGTTAAAGTAGGTTCTTCGTCACTAGGAGTCTTTAAACAAACTGAACTCTTCTTCCTCTGACATTATCAACTCTGGTTCAAATAGCAATTAAGCCAGAGAGGTGCCATGACTTGTATTTACCCAGGAAGTCAGACTACTTATTTCTATAGGACCTTTCCTGTCTTCTGCTCTAGGCATGACATTGGAACAGGATTAGTATGTTGCATGCACGCGCACACGCATGTCTGCAAATGGTATTTGCATAGGGGCAGTGCATGGAGGAATTATAAAGCAGATTTGCCTACAGGTTTGAAAAAACGAGTTCATATTCTCAGACAGTTGCTGCACAGGTACATACTCACCCTTTTTTACATTTTTTGAAGATCTTTCCTATTTTATCAAAAGGAACGTCATACTTGTCAGATATCTAGAACAAAAGAAAGTAAGCATTGGAGAAGCAGGGAGACTGCTGGCATTGTCTTCCACTTACTATTTTACAGAAAGGAACAAAAAAAGGTCTGCAGACAAAAACTGCTCTGCCCTATAAAGGCAATGCTAATCCTGAATTATAGCATAAGCCTACAGATAAGAAGCCCTCCTCTGCAGTTTGCCAACTTCCGTGCAAAAAATTTAATCACGTTCTAAACCTGGCCACTGACTTCTCACATAGTAAACCCCTGCCCCCACACCAAAAAGCCCACGCATTAAAAAAACCCCACCCCACACCCTGGTTCTCATCCTCTCTTGGCTCTCTGTTCTCTTAGCATATCAAAAACCACTTTTAAATTCAGTGTCAAAGGGATCAGGTGAAAACTACTCACCACAGTGGCTGGTGCAGGAAGAAAACAGCAACAGAGCAAAAACCCCTGCTGCCAAGAACACAAGCTGATCAGAAACATCCCCCTTACCCATCAGGGTGACCTCAGCGTAAAACCACAGCCACTAACAATGGCACTTCACTGTACAAACCTCCAGAAAGTCAGGAGGTCAGTAACCCAAGGCCGGTTTACTTTGGCAAACTGCTCTATCACACCAACAGCAAGTACTAAACCAATACGCCGTTTCAGGATGCCAAAGCACGGGGGGTTTCCTCCAAGCCACAGTTGTGAGCTCTTGGTTCCTTGCTTTAAGGAATCCAAGTGAAAGAACAAAGGCGCAGCTTTACTCCACGTCCATGGGGTAAGCAAGGACTTCATAGCCTTCAAGCCTTCATAGCCCCATTAACCCCCACCTCCAGCCTGCCTGCACTGGGAAAGCTCCACAGCCAGGAGTGAGCTTTGGTTTACAGAACCATCTCTGGGTCCTGAAGCTAACAGCAAGATAACCCTGTCCTGGTTTTGGCTGGGGTAGAACTGATTTTCTTCCTAGTAGCTGGTACAGTGCTGTGTTTTGGATTTAGTGTGAGAATAATGTTGATAACAGACTGATGTTTTAGTTGTTGCTAAGTAGTGCCTATCCTAAGTCAACAAACTTTTCACTTTCCCATGCTCTCCCAGTGAGGAGGTGCACAATAAAATTGGAGGGAGCATAGCCAGGACAGCTGACCCAAAATAGCCAAAGGGATATTCCATACCATAGGACGTCATGCTCAGTATATAAACTGGGGGGGAGCTGGCTGGAGGAGGGTGGGGTGGGGGTTCGATTGCTGCTCAGGGACTGGCTGGGCATCAGTGAGCAACTGCACTGTGCATCACTTGTCTTTTATTTCTCTCTCTTTTTGCTATCTTCCTTTTCATTACAATTATTATTATTGTTACAGTTATTACTATATTTTATTTCAATTACTAAACTGTCCTTATCTCAACCCATGAGTATTACTTTTTTTCCCCAATTCTCCTCCCCACAGGGGGGAGGAAGAGTGAGCAAGTAGCTACACGGTGCTCAGTTGCCAGCTGGGGTGAAACCACGACAAGCCCCAAAGCCTTCGTCCTCTGAGGATCAATGAGGCATTAGTCACAGAAAGGGACAGCCAGACACGTCAGTTTTGAGCTCGTGCCAAACATTACACCATTCCTCGGAGTTAAGCTCTGTATTTTCTTTGCAGCACTGCAGCAGCAGGGGTAGTGGAAGGCTATTTTGGAACTCAAGTACCAGAGAGCAATTTCACGCACATGTGCACAGATCTATAAAACTCTTCAAGCACACTCAGAAGCTGGGACTTGGAGCTCTTCATAAGCAGGTTAGGAAGGGGGAGGGAAGGCCCCCAAACAAGGCTTTGAAAGACTGAAATAAACCCAAGCCACTGAACACATGCTGGAAATCACACTGTCTTCTAATTAAAATACCCTCTCTGACATGAGGGACATCCACAGTGGGAATCTGTTGACTATTTTCTGACAAAAGTAGGAAAACACCTACACAGCTGCTTCTGCAGCTTGGCCAAAGCAGAGCCTGCATAAGAAGTGAGCCTAGAAGGCTCTCTCTCCAGCAGCCCCTGCCATTTTGGGACCATCTTGGATATCCAGTCATAAAGCTTGACACACCTGGATTTTCAGGAAGGCTGACAAACACTACACCCAGACCCCACAGATGTGGGGTAAAGTACTTAAAAGGGAAGCTTTCTGAAATCCCTTAATAACAAATTAAAGCATCATTTACATTAATTTCCATGTTAGCAAAAGGAAATCAGCCTTATATTTCTTATCCAGAAGAGCAGGAATATGTGGATGCAAGCTGCGATTGAGAGTCTAGCTCCTGTGTGCAGTGTATAAGGACTGGAAAGCCAGGGACTACACTTGCTTTTTCTCAAACTGGAGGCAAGGACTATAAAACAGCCTTATTACTTACTGCTTCCATTAGACCTTTCAGAGACGGTGTCTTTAACATTAGTGCATCAAAGACTTCCTCTGACTCTTTTCGGACATACAGCAACACTGAAAGATGAATCAGAGAGAGGAATTTAGAATCACAGAATGGTTTGGGTCGGAAGGAATCTCTAAAGATCACATAGTCCAACCACCCTGCTGTAGGCAGGACACCTCGCGCTAGACCAGGTTGCTCCAAGCCCCATCCAACCTGGCCTTGAACACTGCCAGGGAGGGGGCAGCCACAGCTTCTCTGGGCCAGTGCCTCACCACTCACACAGTAAAGAACTTCTTCCTAAGATCTAATCTAAATTTACCCTCTTTCAGTTTGAAACCACCCCCCCTCATCCTATCCCTATAATCCCTGATAATCCCACCCTTTCTGTAGGCCCCCTTTAAGTACTGGAAGGCCGCTATAAGGTCTTCCTGGAGCCTTCTCTCCTCCAGGCTGAACAACCCCAACTCTCTCAGCCTGTCCTCACAGGGGAGGTGCTCCAGCCCCCTCATCATCTTTGTGGCCCTCCTCTGGACCTGCTCGAGCAGCTCCATGTCTTTCTTAGATGATGAGCTCTGAGCAGGTCTGTGTCTTTGCTGTGCTGGAGGCCCCAGAGCTGGACACAGCACTGCAGGTGGGGTCTCACCAGAGCAGAGCAGAGGGGCAGAATCACCTCCCTCGACCTGCTGGCCACACTTCTCTTGATGCAGCCCAGGATGCGACCGGATTTCTGGGCTGCAAGTGCACATTCCTGGCTCGTATTCAGTTTTTCAGCCACAAGTCCTTCTTAGCATGGCTGCTCTCAATTTACTGCATAATTGCTCCTCAAAAATGATCAGTACATGATAGTGGCTAAGTACAGTGTAATATACATTGAGGATCTCACAAGGAGATATACATATGTACATTTCAATATACATTGAAGATTGCACCAAAACCATGCATAGCTAGGTTAGCTCAAAACAATGTTTTTGCACACAGAAATACTGCGTGCTCAAAACGCCTTTATTGTCAAAATACTTTTAGATTTTTCTCTATTTGCTATTTTCTCTATTATTTGAAAAAAAGGGTTACATTTGAAACATAGAAAGGTAGAATGCAAAACACACAGGTTTTGGGACTTTAGGTTATCCATATCTCACAGGTGATCTGCCATAAGATTTTGCACAATAAAATTATTTGACAGACGTGACCACAGCAGGTGAAGACATCCTAGCCACTTTCTCGTTTTTAAATAATTTATTTGTACAGTCCTCTGCGCTTCCTATGCTGTCTCATCTCTCTTCCTACCCCTTGCCATGTTTCAATCATGCTCACACCACCCCAGCTGACACATGATGCAGACTTAGCCACCTGCTAGGAGGGGAACAAAAGAATAAGAAACCTAATTAGGTAAGCATCCCTAGCATTCTCAAGCTAGCAGAGAGTCATTGTATGTAACACCAGCCTCATTAAAAACTGCATTAAGGCTGAGGAATAAGCCATGAGAGCAAGAAAGCTTGGACTTCAACAGCTTTGCTCTCTTTAATCCACCTTCTAATGACTAGGTATTGCAGCCTGGATTGTTTACAAGGGTTCATCAGCCACAGCTTTGACACACCTGCAATACAGAACAATTACTGGCATATCTAATTGACCAAGGTGAACTCAGGACAGCACAGCACCTTGACAGATCTCCTCTGCTAAAGGCGAGTTTGAAAAAAGGACTGTAGATTTAGAAAATGAAGACAGTGTGCAGAGTCTCTGTTACAGCACAGGTCGGATGATATACCAGCTGAAGGAGAGAGAATCCCATGGATCTCATTTAATGGCATACAGCAACAAGAAAACCCAAGAAGTTTAATTTCCTTTTATAAAATCCATCCTTCCTTACTAGTTTATCCAGGCTACAGAACTGCAGCCCCATTAAGGTCAGACTTGCTAGACTTAAGCTTTGCCACATCACAAGTGTAATCCTTGTCTGTTAATCCTTTAAGCTTTGTCTTGGTCCTTCCACACACTACTGTCATCAGGCAGGTAATCCTCTACACCATCTCCAAAGGGACCTCTCATCTCCTTCCACAACACCACAGCAACATCCAATCCCACATCAAATTGCAAAGGTTGACAACAGGTTAAAAATGAGCAGAATATTCTCTCAGTTTGGCTCTCAGCGGTGAACAGCCCATTTTCCAGCATGATGAAAGATACAACAGTTTTATACCCAGAACCAGCTCTTGGCATTCATTGCTTAAAGTCCTAGAGAGGACTTCCAAAGTATTTTGTAGTGGATTACGTGATGAATTCTCTCCCCCAAATCACCAAGGAGATTGGTAAACTGCTCACTTCCTCTGAGTCTCTTTCCTTACAGGTTCAGAGCCAATTAGCGTCCAAGTTGGCAGAAAATCCCAGAAATTCTGACATTGTAAAAGATGCATGAACTCTTTCTATTACTACACAAAGCCAGAAAAATCAGACTAAAGTATAGTCCAAAATAAATTAAAATAACTCTTTACCCTCAGATGCATCTCTCTATCATGATGGACAAACACTCCAATAATTCAGTCTCTGAAAGAAGAAAATAATACCTCTTTTTGGTTCTTCTATTCTGGCCATCTTATTCGGAGTAGCAATAAAGTCCTCTTCACCAATATAGGCTCCTCTCTTCAGGTTGGAGCTGTCATTGACAGGGCAAAAACTTAGCAGTGGTACAACTACAGGGACTCACCTCTCTGTCTAAGGGCAAGACTTCAGTAGGCTGAAGTAGTGCAGCTCTTACCTTTCACCCTCCAGTTCTTCTGAAGCAACAGGAAGGACCTTTTAAAACAAAGGGGAGGTTTTCTTGACATATACAAAAAAACACATGCTGAATTAGCTAGTGAGAACCGTCTGTGGTACTCAGTCCTTGGAAAACACTACAAAGGGCTCTGAACATTACAAAACAAAGCTGCATAAGGACAGACCCATTAGCTGGCGCAACATGGTCTCGTCAGCAATGCTCTCCCCATCCTTCTAAGTGCTATCTGTTAATAGCAACTTAGCAATAGCTTTGTTTGCGTTGAAGAGTCACTGACATGGAACAACCATCCTGCTGCATCTGGAACGAGCAGAGGTCCAACAGCATCAAGTTAAAGGAGGGGTAACCCCTGAGCCAACAGCAGGAGCCACAAGGGACAGGCAGACAGCAACCATCCAACTCACTCAAGCACATGAGTACAGGACACAGGGGAAAATAAATCTGTCAAGTGGGGAGCCAGCCACGGCTTCACTATTAGAAGTAAGATGCTTTGGTCCAAGCAACAAACACTGGCCTTCATTTTAATACACAAATAATACTTGCGCTTCAGGTTGTGAAAATTTTATCCAGAACTAGAATTCATTTCCTCTTACTATCTTTCAACCCTGTATCAAATGACACTTTGTCTCAATCTTCCAAAAGCAAGTAAGCATCTTCTTTAACTCTTTTCATAAATAGAAATTAAAGGATCTCAAATGAGAGAGACAGGAACATACAAGAGCTAACCAGATTTCTATCAGGACTGACACAGCACTAGGGCCTTCACTGGAAAACATGCAGAAAAGTCAGCCTTACAGATACAAGCTCATTCTCCAACCATGTTAGGAGTTTAGGGAATGCTGTGAAAAAGTAAGGTTTAGATTCTGTTAGAGCATGCCAGAACTCCCAGCACAGGAAAGTTCAAGATTTTGAAATTTGGTTGCACTCTAATCTTTTCCCTTCCAGTTTCTTGTCAGCTGCGACTTCCCAGGAACGCTGAGGCAGAGCCCTCTGGCAGTGGATCACAGAGCTGACACACTTGCCAGTTCCACAAAACAGCTATTCACCCTGCAGCAGCAGCAGGCTGGAGGAGCCCAAGGTCTACAGCAGTGCACCAGGTACCCAATGTATTTTACAAGAGAAAAATCAGCCCACAGTTCATTCAATGAACTCTCATCTGGAGACGCTTTGGAACCATCATTTCAGGTTCATGTAAACGGCAGTTCATAGACAAGTAATTTATTCATAAAACATCCCCAGTTAACTCCAGCCAATGTGACTAGGGGCAACTGCTCTTCCTCATGTCAGGCTCAGGCTGTATTTGCACATAGTCTGGCATTTCATATATATAAAAATACACATATACACACAGAGCATACCAGGCTTTTTGCAAATACATCCCTCCTCATGCCCAGACCCACGAGCTTTACTTACGTGAGCACCACGCTGAAGATTCGCAAAGTGAACGTCAGGAATGAAAAGGACCGGCTGAGTGTCTAGATCCATGAAGGGCTTGAAGATGGTGATGTCTGTACGTTTGTGTGAGGGAAGCATTGGCACTTTGACATCAGAAACTGCGGAGACACCAAAGGTTGGAATAGAGGGTAGTGAAAACACCGATGGGGCTGTGGCTTTCCTACATCATTTAAGAGACACATATGCTGTTGAACAGGGGTACTCTGTAGTCAGGGTTAAACCTGTGGTAGAGGAGTTTGAAGCTGGGTTGTCTGCCTCTTAGATGAGGGCCCAGACCCCGAGGAAACAGCTCGAGGAGTAGGAGTTCGCTCCATCTCTCCAGGAGAGCTGCTTGACCTCGTTCAGATATAAAACTGAGCTGCAGAATGGCCTGGCCACTCACCCCAACAGAGGAAACACAGATCTTCCACGTACCAATCAAACCACCCAAACAGAGGGCAAAAGCTAGTCAGAGTCCCCTCTTCTCCCTATCTGTTCCCTCAAAGGCTGATGGATTTCCCATACCAGGAAGGCAGAAAGAAGACAGAGACAACCTGTAATGCACATGGTTCCAGTTGGGACCCTCCCAGAGAGACAGCACCACAGAGGCACTAACACAGTGCAGAGAAGGTACAAATACTGTTTCTTGCGAGATGCTCCATTTACAGTTACGTTTCTATTCCATGCTTCCAAATTCAATTTCATTCGTCTCATTGTTCACCCTGGTCACCTTAAGCTGCCAGACCCCAGTTCATCCTCCACCAGGACCAGCACTGTCTCCCACAGAGCATTTCAGCTCTCGTGACACACCAGCTGACTTGACACAAGGCATCAAGTGGGAAGTCTTCATCCACAAAGACCCATTCGGGAGAGAGTGAGGCAAGAGGTGCCTTAAACTGCACTTCAGACACATTCACATCAAACTGATCCCAGTTGAAGACTTCCACTCATTTTACCAAGTGGAAACATTTCTATTTTGGGTCAAACCAACTGCAAGCAAAACACTTCACTTCTGATGTCCCTAGTGGAAAATCTCCTTTTTTTTTCCCTCCTTGCAAAAATGATTTTTTTTTTTTTTTAAAGATTGCTCAATTGCTGTAGAAAATAACATTGTCCAGAAGTTACAAACTACTTTTGCTGTTGATGAGTCCAGGCGCTCAGGCCATTTGTGATCCTGGAGGTGGGTGTAACAGCTTATGGGTTAAAGCAATCAAAAACTTCCTACACGAACTAAACAGCAATGGCTTGTACTTTCCAGGAAAAAAGGTCACATCAGGCTAAGCCCAAGCCTAGGAAATTCACACTGGAAAGCAGCTTTTGTAAAATCATAAGATCCTGGAAATCTGTATTGAAACTGTTTGTACTTGCCAGCCATTACGCAAAGGGCTGCACGCAATAATCTTTTGGGACCTGTTGGGGCTACTACATTTGTGAAATGCTAACTGTGTGCTAAACCTACCTCTCACTCTGTACATTGGGAAAAAAACCAAAAACCCAGCCCTTTCTGCAACTGCCCTTGAGCAAATGGGTTCCCTTGTAGCATAATCTTCTTCTGAAGCTGCTCCAGCAGCCTGTACTTGCTGCATCAGGAAAATCCTGCCCAGCAAGCTGTGAGGTACATGCTCGTTGAACCAGTTGGACTGCTAACAGCACAGCTCTGACAAGCACATCAAGCAGAGCCAGGGAGAGCACGAACCTGCCCCGTGCAAAGGAAGAACAGGGAGATACATTTTCCTCTAAGCAGCTCTGTTGGGGAATAACTAGTCCTCCAAACACAGGATCTGTTGCAGTCATCTGCAGCAGTTAAAGGAAAGATGTTCAACCAGAAGAAGCTCCGCAGCCTTTACATATCATAAGTGCTGAGGCCTTCACATCCTTCACAACTTATATTGAAATTATTTACTAAAGATCACTTGACTCTAGAATTGTGCAAAGCTGCAGGCTCAGTCCCAAGGATGCCACCACCTTGCTGCACAGTTATAAACACATTTTCAACATAAGTTAAAGCCTAAATTTAGGATCAAGCTGGAAACACTTGGAACAGCTCCAGTATTTGCTGCCACACAGAGCTGCAGGGGCTCCAGCAGTGCCCAAAAAATCACATACCCGCCCTGTCATTTCATCTGCTAGAAGACCATATCCGAATGAAAACATAGAAGGATCCTGTCTTGGACAGGAAGAACCAGGTAGAAGAGAAGTCCTAAGTGACTCAGTATGTTGCAAAACACAATTTATGGCTACACAAGCAACTGCTTAAAACAAACGCTATTCCACAGGGGATAAAAATTGACTTAGGAGAGTACTACCGCACAGGTTATTTGTAACCAAAATGAGATCTACTATTTAAAATAAAGATAGAATAATTTCTACTTACAGGCATTCAACTGAGAGCTGGGGTCAGTGCACTTGCCTTTTCTTTTGCTTTGCTTTCGCTCTTCATCCCTGATCTTCCTCTCTGCTCCCTGCCAGACAAGATTAAGGGGAAGGGGGGTGGGGAGAGAGAGAAGGTAAAGAAGGTCTTTTAGGTTTTTTGGGGTTTTTTTTTCAGCTGCAGAAGCAGGAACACTGACTCTTCCAAAGCTATGTTTGTGGAGGTCAGCTTCATGGTACCAGAGCTGCAGGTTTGCCAGTGTGCCAACTTCGAGATCTACCCAGAGTTTACTTTCAAGTCCTGTCATCTAATGAAATCCAACAACCTTATCCAATATGCAAACAATTGCTTTTCTTCCAAGTAATATGATGACAAAAGATATCCACAATTATAACAACTGTATGAAGTGCGAGACAAAATATATCTGAAGTGTTTAAAACAATAAAAACTTGCAAGTTCCCTCAGTTTAAAAGTTCACTAGATCATCATTAAATCCTGATCTACAAAAACCAAGCCACACTCAGATCACCAAGCGTAAGATACCCTCCTGCAAGTTGCACATGGAGCCGGCAGCAGTTATACCAGCCTTCACTGACCTCAGGCTGAAGACATGCATAATCGTAAAGCAGGCATTACTTCTCTTTTTATCAGGGCCAGGCTGTGGGGGAATCCACAGATGCCTAACCAGGTTCCTGCCATGGTTCCTGGCCCTCCAAACCAAGCAGCAGTAGGGAGAGAACTATATTTTCTGCAAGGTGCAGGCAGCTATGACAGAGAGAGCAGGAAGGAAGAAGGTTTGTATTGGAATTGTGCTCATTCCTCCAGCTCTGCCCAGACCTCCCACGTGACTGTGGGATAAGGCAGGGACATTGCTGGTTGCATAAGGTGGTTAAGTCCAAAGTAGATTCCCAACACTAAGTCCTGGTGCTACCACTAGATCACTGCCCCAGCTGGTACACACAAGTTATACCTGTGTCCCAACACCCTCCTGCAAAGCAGGGTAAGCAGCAACAGTTATCTGGCTACAGGAAGCCATTATTTCTCATTCCCACTCCTGAAAGGCTGCCAAAACACACCCACATCCTTGCAGTGGTGCTGGAGGAAGACCAGATTAGCTACAGTGAATGAGATGTCAAAAAGCATGTGGTAATGGGGTGGGAAACAGTGCCTAAGGCAATAGCCCTCCTAACCTCCCAGTAAATCAATACTCTATAGCTGACAGGATGCCTGCGCCTGCTAGGGAGCAGAGGACGTGTCTGCACTAGCAATAAAAAGGAAAATTAGCCTAGATATTTGATGTGCATTAACATAATCACCTTTTCTCCCACCTAACATCAAGGACACAAGCAGCTTCAGGCTGCTTCCTTGAGGAGAACGTGTTAATCCATCAGAGCATGCATACCTGGACTTGTGCAAAACATTTGATGCTGTCCCACAAGACATCCTGGTCTCTAAACTGGAGAGACAAGTGGATAAGGAATCGGCTGAATGGTTGCACTCAGAGTTGCTGTCAAAGGCTTGATGTGCAAGTGGAGATCAGGGATGAGTGGCATTTCTCAGGGATTGGTAATGGGACCAGAGCTGTTTAACATCTTTTTCGGTGACATGGACAGTAGGATTGACAGCACTCTCAGCAAGTTTGCCAACACCAAGCTGTGTGGTGAGGTCGACAAGCTGGAAGGAGTGGGTGTTGTCCAAAGGGACCCTGACAGGCTGGAGAGGTGGGCCTGTGCAAACCTCAGGAAGTTCAGCAAGGCCAAGCGCAAGGTCATGCACCTGGGTCGGGGCAATCCCAAGCACAGATACAGGCTGGGCAATGAGTGGATCAAGAGCAGCCCTGCGGAAGAGGACTTGGGGGCACTGGTGGATAAAAAGGTGGACATGAGCCAGCAATGTGCACTCGCAGCCCAGAAAGCCAATCGCATCCTGGGCTGCATCAAGAGAAGTGTGGCCAGCAGGCTGATGGAGGTGATTCTCCCCCTCTACTCTGCAGTGCTGTGTCCAGCTCAGAGGTCCTCAGCACAAGAAAGACATGGAGGTGCTTGAGCAGTCCAGAGGAGGGCCACGAAGATGATGAGGGGGCTGGAGCACCTCCCCTGTGAGGACAGGCTGGGAGGGTTGGGGGTGGTGC